CGCAAATGTTGATCGAATGTGGACATTATGGCATTACTTTTTGCCTAGCAATAAAGTACCAGACAAGAAAATCACAGACCCAGATTGCTTAAACGCTGCAGTTTTGTTCTACGACGAAAATGCACAGCTTGTACGCGTGACAGTGAAAGATTCCTTGGACAATCTGAGAATGGGATATGATTTTGAAAGAATTGATCTTCCATGGCTGGATTACAGGCCACCCCCGCAGACTGCAAGAGCCAGAGTGATTAAAACTACTTCTGATGCACCATTGGCAAGCACCGTATTCCCTGTCATCTTGGACAAAATTATCCGAGTTCAGGTTCCTAAAGCGAAGAAGGGTAAAGCTGATGAACTGCTGGTGCTTGAAAACATTGAAGTTGACACTACAAAATTCCTTAAGGTTGATGTGTTTGTGAATGATGAAGATGATAACATTAATGAATTGGACAAGGCTTCTTATGCAGGAACCTATGCGCAAGTGCCGCATAAAACTAATAAGACGCCGAACAAGACTTCTATCAGGTTGAAACTCACTGATCTTTACGACGACATGGATATTGATGACGATGANCCGAACAAGACTTCTATCAGGTTGAAACCCACTGATCTTTACGACGACATGGAAATTGATGACGATGAAACAATTCTGGTGACATTGGTGCCAAGACATCAAGGGGGTGGTATTACCATTGGTGGTATCAAGATCGTTGAAGCAACAAGTTGAGGATTGCACTGCAATTATCTTGCGTTGTTCGTGTTTTCTTAATGTATGTACAAATAAGATTTTCATTGCGTCTTGCCTGCAATGAAAATCCATGTTCAGGTTGTTGATTTCCAGTCCAAGTGTGATTTTCTGTGTCTTTGATTTAATCGATGGTTGCACGTTGCCCCCAATCGATTATCAGTGTTGGTACTCGACTCTAAATTCAGTGAAAATAATTTTTTTAAATTAAATCTCATTTATTTACTAGTGACAATAGTTAAACATGAATCTTCAAAATATCAAAATTAAACAGAGAAAGATTGCAAGATTCATTAAAATTATATAGCAAAGTAGGTAAAGATCATTGTGGTCATAGTTGAATCAAATGTGCAAGAGATTTTGATCGGAAAGTAGGTACGCTCATTTATTGAAGACGATTAGTTTTCTTTTACAAAGTGTCACTATACTTGAAATAAAATTGGACAAATTCGAGAGATCATGCGCATTATGCTTTCCAAACAGTATTAATTCAAGGGCAAAGTTTTTAAATTTTATTATGGAGATAGTACGAGAT